ATATAATGTATATATTCATCGTATGGCTGTGTGTTGTTGAGTTTTCATACGAATAAAATTTTTACAATTTACTTACACGCATGTGAATTATTATTTGCAATGTCTAAACTTTTTTATTGTGTCTGAGAGTGTTAGTTTTCAAGTCGATCTGAGTTTGCTGGTACAAGTTGGTGCGAGACTACAAAATCTTGCGATCCGAGAAAGTGAGCACTTGCATGTGGCACCTGAACATTCCGTTGAAGATCGTACATCCATAGAAAGTACACTGGCTGCTTTGGGTGTGTTTTTAAACTTGAAAAATGAATATCGGGCCTTTGTCACGACATAAAGAGTTGAGGGTGTTTTATTCTTTGTGGGTGAATAAAAACATGTATCCACGCGTATGTATATATATTATTAAATAAATGTTCGTACTCCTATTTAAATCTGGCTATCCTTTCGATACAACTGTCGATAAATTTTGATTTCATCAATTCCCGTTTACCATGTATTTGTTTTTTCTTCTTAATCCTAATCACTATCTCCTAACCCTTAAACTAAAATCAGGTCTCACGCACGGCGAAGGAAATTCAGGAGAGCTTTCGCACGGATGTGCTGTACTGGGACGACACCGTTGAATTGGGACTGAAGGTGTATCCCTCCGATGAGAAGATATACACCTTTTTGGGCAACACAATCGATCCCGATTTTGTGGACAATCCCAAAGTGAAGGCTTATGTGGACAAGTACAACTTATCTAGTGCCTATGAAGAAATCCAAATGGTGCGCAATGGCACGTCCGGGGACTCGCAGGTGGAATAGTATGTTAGCTGCTGCGTATGCACGGATGGGGGTGGAGGGTGGGTGTCTTTGGGTGAGCTTGCCACGCGAACGTTTGTATGGGCATGTATACATCTGTGAAGGTGTATAGTGTTGATGTGTAGCTATGTCTATATGCATACATGTATGTAAGCTTGTATGAAGTGCAATACAGGGGTCTATTAAGGGTCGCTGTGGTGTACTGGATATCGCCTGAAGCATTACAAGCTCCCCCGATGTCTATAGTATAGAAAATCCCCGTCGGTGTCGGTCATTGTACTGTAGAGTCAACGTGTCCACACGCGCGACTGATACGTTATAGTGCTGATATTGATGGCGTTACCAGATGTCTTATCAGAATACCTTCGGATCCATTTTCAGGTGAATATCTTCGGATCTATTCTCAGGTGAATACCTTTGGATCCATTCCCAGGTGTATATATTCACCACCATCCAATGCACCTGATGTGACTTGCATGCTTAGCACTCACTCCCGTTCACGGGGCTGGTGCGTATAGTGTCTGGTGACGTATGCACCTCCCCCACCACCCCTTCCCACTCATAGGCATAGCTCTGCCTACCACACTGTCCCAACCAGCCTGTAGCGCTACCTACGTCTACGTCATGCATGGGATGTGCCTTATACGCACTTTCTTCTCGTAGTGTTTCTGTACGTGCCTGGTATGTACGTTCTTCTCGCCGTATCCATTCATCTCCATTGCTTACCCACCCCATGCACATACACATCCACATCCCCTCTTTCAGCATCTTGGAGAGCCATTCGGGCTCATTGTTTGTCGACGCCCCGGCCCTAAACGCTACACAGAGGAAGAAATCCTGCGTTATGCGCAATTACTTGTTCAACGATTTGGCGATGGAGGCATGTCGAATGTTTTTAACTAAGCCAGAAAGGCGCCTGTAGATCGGCGCATGGACATTTGTTATCGTGTACTGTTATGTCGAGGGAGATGACGATATGCCAGTGTGTATGTATACAGATTGGGCAAACAGGTGCCCGTAAGTACGCACAAGAGCCTGTGTTATAGTGTACTGTGTTATTTGAAGGTGAGGATGCTTCCTCGGTCGTAGGCGATACACACGCTTTGCTTAGTTTTATAGAACGATCCGGTTGATCTCGAGATTCATTCTGTGCACTGGCAGTACATGGAATATCTCAGTAGATCTTTGGTGTTCTGTGGGATGCAGAGAACGCTTTCTGTGTTTACGTTTCGTTTATACTACTGTTTACCCATAGAGTACGCTTCCAACGATGTTTTTATATACAGACTACGCTTAGGAACAAAGCTGTTTGCGTATACATCACACTGACCCATATCCTCTGCTACCTGCACAGCTACACACACGACAAGCGTTCAAAGACGCCGCCCTGGGCGAATACTCAGCGTACAATCCCGATACACTCACTGTGGCCTACTCTCCATTCGATGTGCGAGGACGAAGCATCCAGAGGCACGTTTGACGTAACGCGTGCATGTGGTGTCTGTCATGTGAGGTGTCGGGAGTGTGTTGACTAGGTGAGCATGTATAAGAGACCCAAACACGCGCGGCTACTTGCGCTGGTACGGGTGTTGTGGTGAGTGGATGCATATGAATGCAATATCGAGGGGCATGGGCATACTTACGAGTTGCGGTTAAATTGTCGATCGTATTTTTATGTGTATGTGTATGTGTATGTGCGTTTGTATATATATACTATATATATTATATATATACATATATATGTATATACGTACAAATATAATTCTATATATATATTATATATATATATATACGTACAAATATAATTCTATTTTATATATATATATATACAAATATAATTCTATATATATTATATATATACATATATATGTATATACGTACAAATATAATTCTATATATATATTATATATATATATATACGTACAAATATAATTATATTTTTATTATATCATGTGTATATGTGATTGACTGTTACCGTATCCACTTTCTATACCCGCAGAAAAGCCACTGAAGGGACGTTGAAACAACTGGCCAACATATACAACGTTAGCCGGCTGAATCAGAACATACCGGACTATTTTATCATCACCTCCAAGCACAACACGTCTGGTAAGTATGAGTAGGGTAGTACCCATACTGGTATAGGCAAGTATGTCTATTTTTGCAATTCGTACAGGGAAGCATCCCATTGTCACACAGTGGTATTCGTGACTACCGTATCTGTGACCCATGGTCCAAATTTACAATATATATGCGGAAATACGATCTACATTTTTCGGAGGCTCGGTACCGTAATGTGACGGTGTAAGCATGTCCAGGGAGTTGTTTTACTGTTAATAAATATGGAAAATGAGCTTTTTTTCTGGTGAAAGAAATGTTTTGGAAAAGAGGGGTTTCTACTGATAAAACTAGTCATGGAATAGGGGTTGTTTTCTTTTAATGGTAAAATTAGTTATAGATACGGGGTATGTGTGCGCCTGCCCATGATTTCCTATTTCGGCGGATTTGCTATGCATCTAGTATGTATAGTATGTATGCGCTGCGGATGGGGATATATCACAGTGGCAGCGAACGGGCGACAAGTTCGCATCAGTACAATCAACGGATGTGGGGAAGAATTACACCCACGGTTCATGTGACGTGGTAGTTCATATATTATACACGACGTAGTGCTGACTGTCACATCGGCCATCCTACGGTACAATTCGATGAGTTTGGCACCCATGTATGTGCACTGGGATCAAAACATACACACAACGGCTCTCTGGGTATACTTTAAATACCTGAGCCGCTGCTGAATGCAATACACCCGTTTTCCACCTCAGTACATACTCTATGCCCGTATCCATGCTACATACGATACGCCCGTATTTTGCTACATATACAATGCAACCGTATCTCACCTCGTTATTACTGCTATATATAATACACCCATATTTTGCTACACATACAGTACACGCGTATCTCACTTCGATATTGCTGCTACATGCAATACACCTGTAGTTTGCTACACATACAGTACATCTGTGCCTCACTTCGGTATTCGATATTCCTGCTACATGAAACATGTCCGTATACCTTACAGTCACTATCGGCAGTCTGCGGCTGAATGGTATGGAAGTGGCTCCTTTCCCGGCCGTAGTATCGGGGGCTGACTTTGTCCAAATTGACGCGATTACGTACTGGGCGCCCATAGTCTACACGGAAAAATCCGACTACTCTTCACCGGAGATCTTACGTTTACTGGACCAGTTCAGCGGCGAATTCGATTACATATTTCACTTTGCGTAAGTTCGGTGGAGTGAGACCGGCGTACTATACGAAGTACTTCCCCGCATATATATGTATACATGTATTGGATGTGTGTTGTGTGAATGTAAATGTACCTTATATAGGTCAAGTACCTTTATAAATATCTTGTGATTGTATCTGGGTGTGTTCAGCTATATGGACATGTATATCTAAGTATTATTCAGTGTATTAACGTGAGGTAGACAACAACGTTGGCGATCAAGTGCGATGTGCTTACCTAATCCGTACTGTATATGTGCCTTGTTACTGTATATGCATGTTGTATATGTATGTGGTAAGGGTATGTGTAGTAAGAGTATATGAACCTTGTCTATGTATGTGTAATTTGTATATGTACCTTATGTATCTTATATGCATCAAGTTGCGTTTGACCATATGTTGCGTTTGACCATATATATATATATAGATATAGATATAGATATAGATATAGATATATATATATATATATATATATATATTATATATAATAATAACACACACACACACACAGATATATGTATATAACACACACACACACACACACACA